TCATACACATAAACGATTTATTACTGTTTTAACGGTATTTTGAATCGCTTATACGAACATGTTATCCCATCGTCCAGACAGGCACAACGTGAATGCACGTTAATTTGCTCATAATCGCATGCTAACATTCCCATTTTTGTTTGCGTCTTTACGGTATTCACGTACTTTGTGTACATAAATAAAACATTTTCGTATTATGCATTCACCCCTCACTCGACACCGTACTTTATGAGGTGCAGTAAAAATTTTCTCCACCACTTGTTGTTAACCCTAACCACAAACTTCTTGTTTTGTTTTCGAAAACAAACATTTTTAAAATGTTCAATTTTCTACAGGGGTGTTGTTGTACTGGCTGATACTATGTCAACCCCACATGGGTTATTCTAGCTTCTGGATAAACCAATCTGTTCATTCTCCTCAAGCTACATTTTGACCTTATCACTTATTCGCTCATTAACCCTGGATGCCTTTTTATAATCGTATGTGTGTTAATTAATTACCCTATTCATTGTGTCTGTAACTTATTTTTGTTTGACTATAAATATCGAGTGAAGTTTGATTAAATGTAGTTGGCTCATATGTCTTCTCTGATCCGTTTCGTTTAGCTCTCTCCTCTTCGCTTCGTTTCCATGGTTGTCAGTCCAGATCAACGATTGTATATAATATACGTATTCGAAATTCATTCTCGTATTTGACTTATTTAATTACGCTATTCACTAATGCGACTGAAGTCAATGATTATATACGAGGGTAGCCGGGATGTATATTTCGATGACAACCATAATACGATTTAATTAGTCAGATAAATGGCCACTAAAATGTAACTGAGTTACAGCGAGAACGAAAATGTCTTTTCCTGAGTAACTCTGACAAAGGCTACTGTTCACCAAATATGAATGTGGTTTCATACTATTATAATATGTTAAACTAGTCAGAAACAGTTACCTGATAATTTTCGGTCGTCACTAATCGTCATAACTGAGCAAACATTGACATGGTTTGATGCAAGGGAAAGAGAATATCCGATAGACAACGAAAAATCGATCATAAACGAAAAATTGAACAAAACTGTATGTAATTCCAATAGCTGAGATCATGAGTTAATTGAAGCTAGACCACCGTGAAAAACCTGGAATCAATGGATGGCTGTTTCGTCCTATTGTGGGACTCCTCAGCAGTGTGCACCCACAGCTACGCCTCGTGGGATTCAAACCCAGCATTTATCAGTCTCGCGCACGACCGTTTGACCCCTAGACCACTGAGCCGGCATCGAATGGTGTTAATATCTAAATTCAACTAATCCACGAAATTGAGCGACACATCCACCATTGTCATCAGTGAGTTACTAACTATTAAACGAAACGACCGTCCAGTGCTTCTAGGTTTTCCATGGTAATCTAGCTTCAATTGACACATGATCTCAACTATATGTGAATACGCTGATTTTTATATTTTATTTGCACTGATTAACAATCAAGGTTTGAATAGATTAAACTAAGTCACTTGACATTAATCAACAAAAGCTTAATGCATGTCTAAAATTTGCACTATTAAAAGATTAAACTACTATAAAGAACAAATAGGAGTAATTTACAAAGTTGTATGATAAGTCCTTTCTAACACTGGTTTATCATGAAAAATTCCCTTAAAACAACTCAGTTCTTATCATACAGTAAATCGAAATGTTTAATGAATAATTCTGAGTGGTACATTAGCTAATTAAGTTCCAAATTTTCCATTTGTTTGTATGGGTTTATATGGTAATAGAAGTAACAACAGTATTAAGTAGTGAAAAAGTATGAAGAGTAGGAAATTGTTTGTTAAATAAAATAGTGTTCATTAACAGTTGTCATTGTGTTTATTCTGACAGTAGTTATTCATAGCTAATAAATAAATACAATCTAATGGTAAAATCTATGCATAAATATACATGTATTGTGTATGTTTATATTCATAGAATATTGCAACTACATATACATATTGTGAGTTATGTCATCTTTGTCTTCTTTCATTGTCTTTTATCCAATTACAATGAAACTTGAAAAGAAATTATTTATTTTAATTAAGGTAAGAAATAAGATGAAATAATAATGATTGCATATTTTATTAGGATTAAATTTTGTAAATATTAGATTACTTCATCTTATCTTGTATAAATTAATAATTAAACAAGATGACAAAGTAAATATCCATAAACTGGAACTGTTCACAATTAATGAATATTAAGTCAACAATAACTTACATCTTATAATAAATAGGTAAGATATAAAGTCTAATTAACAATGTTGTTTAAACAATAAAATTAATTAGGCTAAAGAAAATTCCCATCACAGACTGATATCATCTGAAAAAACTAGTGAATACAAAGGACTGTCAGATAACTGCTTCATCTTGGTTTAAAATTTCTCAGCCGTCAACACCCACAACAATTTCAGGGACTGAACTCATGATTTTCCAGTTTGAACAGGAGTACGCTGCCTAAGGATCGCAGAATCAAATTCTAGTAGTTGATATTTCCAACTCTATGTAATTTGTATTACAACAAGGTCATTGTCTAATGTTACCGGTGACTATTTGAGTACTGATATAAATCAGTTATACTAGTCACCGTTTCTCACCATAGAGCTCGAAATCTATTTTGAAGCAATTCACTATTGAGTTAAGTTTCTAATCTTTTATTAGCTCATGTTATTTCATGACGAAAATCATCTTCCAGTTAATTATATCTTAGTCGTATTTCAACAATAGACATCACATAGGCATATACACTGATCTTTCATAATCAGTTAACCATAACCAACATCTTCACCTTTTAGTCATCATGTTTCATTTAACTGATGGACAAATATACTTTCGACAAAAAATTAACCAACTCATCAAATCACATACGGACACTCACCTTGAATACACATTTATCATTGGATAATTACACTAGGAAAATCATCAATAATTGTTCCCCATTGCCAATGACTAAAATTAATAATCAGTTGAATGTCATTTAATGACCAAGTGATGAACAGTTTTATCTGATTGAATATGAAGGTTAATTCACCATTGCTTATAATGTACGTCACTCTAGCCTCATATTGACTTTTTATCAAGAAAATCACACGGTTAATTGATACTAACTAAAAAGGTTTTGGTTTAATAGTAAGTTAAAATTTCGACTGTGAACACAATTTCGCTCTGGTAAAGTAGATGTCATGAGATTGTATTATCTAAGGAAATGTTACGCAATCTAATCTATGAGATAATATCTACTCTTCTGTGGTTAAGAAGTCGGATTGATGAGATTTTAAGTAGTTGTACACAACTACTAGGATAATTTTAAGAAACTGCGGTCAAGTTATGCATCTAGCTTATCACGTTTAATGTTATGCTCATTCAACGATACTTATTATTATCAGGTTTTCCATGGTGGTCTAGCTTCAACTGACTCATGATCTTAATCATTGAAAGATACTTATTATATTAAGAAACAATATTTTGCATTTAATTAACTCAAACTATCTTATTGACAGACTCATCATTCATAAGTATCAATGAATAGTATTGAAAAACTAGATAAAAATTTTCATTATTTTACGCTCTAAATTTATTACTTTTGTTTGGATTCAAATCAAGTCCTAGGGTTTCCTGTAAATCATCTACAAATATGTAATAACACAACCGAACAAGCTATGTTGAGTCACCTGGACTACATTGTTACTTAGTAGACAGAAACTCATCAGTTGAGTATGGGAGAACAGTAAGTGAAGAACTTATCATGTATTCACCAAATATTTGGTCTATGGTATTTTTATATTGCTCTAATAGTAAGCATACGTTTAAACCACTAACTTTTGATCTATACTTATTGCTCAGAAACTAAAACTAAATAATTGTACATCTGATACTTGATTTGCACCACAGATGACCTAATTATGAATCTATTGACATTCCTCACTTGTTATACGTTGCGGTCTTGCAATCGATGTAATTGTGTGGGCTTCGAGCCATAAATACAGGTGCTGGCTGCTATCTTTTGTGACGTGTGGTGTCCGAAGGCTGTTACTAGTACATGCTGTGCTAAGGATTAACCCCCCCCCCTTAATGACTACTTGAGCAAGAAAGTATATTGTGCTACCGAATAAAATGCACAAAACTCATTTCAATATATACCACTATAACCCTTAGGAGAATGATCCGTGTCTTAACCAATGAAATGTACTTGCCCTATAGGTCACTTCTGATTATCATCGATTGATTTTCTCATCAGACTACATTCGATTGGCTCCCTATATCACTTTCGTGTTCAATTTGGGGAGGTTAAGATCAGAGAGAACTTGTGTTGGCCAACCAGAGTCAGCATACTTAGTGGGGACAGGCGCAGCTAAGATTATATGTATTATTGGCGTACATGGACTTAGTAAATTAGTTGTCCTATTGAGTGGATATGTTAAGTAGTTGAATCAGTAACCATCAACAATAAAAAATCTGTGACCTAATATTAATTAATGTTACTACACATCGATCATTCAGTGTTAATGCGATAGTCTAATTTTCACTTCATCTACAGTTGATAACATAGTATTAATTGAAATTTTAGATGGTACCGTTTTAGAGACCCCAAATCATTTAGGGAAGCATAAGAAAATTAAGCATTTTTGAGTATATGAAAATGTTCATCAAATCCGAAACTATCTGACAGAATTCATCGGAACAATAAAATATCTGAAGGCGTTTTGTGGAGATTTTAATCATTTCAATATTTGAAATCATGAGTCAATTGAAGCTAGACCACCATGGAGAACCTGGAAGCATTGGACTGATAAGTCATGGGTTCGAATCTCGCGAGGGGCGGGATCATGGATGCGCACTGCTGAGGTGTTTCATACTAGGACGAAACGGCTGTCCAGTACTTCCAGGTTTTTCATGGTGGTCTAGCGTCAATTAACTCATGATTTCAAATATTGAAATCAATAAAATATCTAAAAATATATAAAAAGAACACATTGATATATGATATAAATCATTGTGTGTATTCTTGTATTATTATTTTTTCCTTTTCTGAGAAAATATTTATTAAAACAATCTAATAAATAACTAAATACAAAAGAAAAAGAATGTTGATTGTACAAAGTGATGTATCTGTCTGTGATAAAGGTGTCATAAGTTGAAAGAGAAATATTTTTCTTAAAAAAACAAACATAATAAACAAACAAAAAAACAATGCAATATCAGAATCCTAATGTGAATAAAAACATTCAATTATAACTGATTATCACAAATATTGTAATGAGTATTACGGTTGGTTTGTGTATATAGTAGAAAAACATCCTAGTTATTTCCATTAATAGTAATTAGTAGTAGTAATAGTAATATATTGCTAACGAGAAAAATTTTGACTCAGTTTGATTGTCTTAATAATAATAATACAACGATAATATATAACAGCAACCATTAAAAAACCATAATATCAATATGAGCAAAAAAAGTAAATTGATAGAAAACAAAGAAACGTATTTCTGTAAAACGATGATAAAGGATGATGATTATTTCACCACATTTACATTGTAAAACATATTTGACGATTAAAACAAAAATCAATCAATCAATCAATCAATAGAATACAAATTTCGTGAGAAAAATCAAATTGTTTTTTCTTCTCATAGTAAACAACCCAGATTGATAGAATATAACTTGAAGAGGAAGAACATAAAGAGATGAAGAAAAAGACAATCATTATTTTTAGACAAGTTCCCTTTGTAATCAGTGATAAATAACCTAAGTATAAACAATAGTCATAATTAAAAATAATAATAATAATATTTCAAAGAAATACTTGCTTGATTGAACTATTTTCTTCTCTTTTTTGTCTTTTCACTATCAGTAAAGTACACCTAGAATACTACTGTTTGTCTTTTTTTTTCTTTTCTTCTCTTTTCAATGAATCAAATCAATTATCATTAATGGAAGATTAATGAATAAACCATATATAACTACTGAAGTAAATAAAATGAATCAACTGGGATAAATAAGAATGTTATTTAAGTAAAGAAATATGTATCTCTCATATCATTTATACATAATTATAAAATGAAAGATTTACAAATATGTCGAGTTCCATCCTTCATTCATTCATTCATTCATTCATTAATAATAATAATAATAATGATAAATAATACAAATTATACGATTCAATTAATAATTAACAACAGTAATGGAATAATCCTACTAATAGTAATGATCATTGAATAAATAAAATTAAAAAAATCCATATTATTATATGAACAACAATGATAGAAAAGAACGTTTCTGTTTTTCTTTCTTTCTATTATCAGTAGTAGACAAAAGAATAATGTAAATAAAGCTGAGAAAATTCCCTCTCTCTCTCTCTTTTTTTTTGTTTTGTTTTGTTTATTTTTTAGAAATACCATACCAACAACCAATTTATACAACATTTAAAACTGTGAACCGTTAATATAAAAATTACAATTCATTTTAGAATAGAAATAAAAGACTTAAATAAATTTAATGATATATTTCAGAAGAGAAAATACCTATGAAATTGAAAAAAAGCAAATATTGAAATAAATGAATTGATGAAATAAATGCAAATTATTCGAATATATAACTAATATAATATAATGATTTAATCCAATATATAATGGTTTACATCATAATTATGAGATATCACATTATCGGATTCATGTTCACTTCTTCACACCTTAGTTACCTAGACATATATACATGGGTACGATAATGTACTAATTACAATATCTGTATATTAATGATATTTGTTATATTGTGTACCTTACAGTAACAGAAATGAATAAGAAAATGAGATTTATTTTGGAAATTTTAGTTGAAGAATGAAAATATTGAAAGTAATTAAACAAGTATATTAAAAGAAACCTACGGGCAAGTAAACAAAGATATATTATCAGTTAACAAAGTCATTGACTGTTGGCCTAAGTCGTTTTCATAGGTGCAGACCAAGTGATTGGAGTCAGTGAGATTATTTTAACCGATGGTTGGTGATGTTAGTTAAAATGGCTTAAAACTGATCGCGATAGTGTGAATGAATTAACACCTTATATGTGAAAATTATATTTGAAATAATCTCAGCGATTGAAATTTAAATAATTCCAACGTTTCGTCCAGCTAACTTGTCTGGACCTCTTCAGGGTAATAATCAAAATCAAAATCATCAAAGAAATATATACCAAACAAGTTAGTTGGACGAAATGTTGGAATTATTTAAATTTCAATCTCTGAGATTATTTCAAATATAATTTTCACATATAATGACTTCTCTATACTCGGAGCCCAATTTCTATCAAACTATTCGTTCTAATCTTGACGAATATTCGTATGAATTAGCACTTTGTTTTCAAATATTCAAGCTTCTCATCCTTCGAATTTATTCTTTCTCCTCAAATCACAATGTATATGTCTAACCTTTTCTACTTTTAGCAATATAGCATTGGTCTTGACAATTTTATCGTGCTTTGCTAATGTGATTAAATAACTTAAACCGATGCACATATATGTCAGGTTCTGCTCTGTTTATGAATGAATGAATAATTGATTCCAATCTTAGATACTTTAATTCAACTAACAAATAAACCGATATCTTAATGGTTCCGTAGTTATAAAACTTGAATTCACTCCTCTATGGGAAAATCTCATAATACATTTGATCTTGAACATTGAAATCAATTAGTTTCAGTAAACAGAACCTGACAAGTTTAGATTATTGGTAGATGAAAAATGATATTAGAAGACATTATCGGGTAAAAAGTGTCTTTCGTAAATTTTGAAAAAGAAACGCTGGTCAAATTGTTTACGTGATCTAATTCAACTTAACAGTTAACACTTTCCTTTCTTCGGATTTTTTTTTCACACAGATATCACTACTTGGGGTAGATTACCTAAAATAGAAATCAGTAACCATCACTGAGCAAATTACACCTAGTTTTAGGCATCTAAGTAATTTGGGTAGCTCCGAAAGTTATTAACTGTATCAAGATTAGGTTTTTTTTAATATCAACATACTTATATATTTAGCTTAGTTTATACACGAGAAACTACTCATAAATTAGATAAATTTTGTATCAATGATAGTTTGTAATATGCAGTTTGATAGCATAATCATAAACGTTATATTAACTCTCCACTACTAAGTATTAAAAACTAGTTAATCGATGTTTACTAAAATTACGTTTCAATGAATATGACTTGAAATGTTGAGGTAATACAAGTGTTGTTCGATGAACAAACTGACGTTAAGAGGTATCACATAAATGAAAATTCATCGACATAGTTTGTATTACTGGTGTTACTGAGGTTACTTAAGAATTCTTATTAAAATATGTTAGTAACTAGATCGGATAAGATACTGTTACGTGATACTGTTTATCATGATACAACGGATAATAAGCAAATACTTTCAAAGATAGAAGTTCACTATTCTGCCATTCATAGAATAATATAATACTCAGAGTGATTGAAATGAGGTTAACTAAACATAATTATGCCTTGTATTTGATTAGCATAGCAGAGTTAGGTCGATAAATTAAAGTAATTTCAAATTAATGACAAGTTGCATGATTTTTTCATTTTATTCAATAGTGTCTTCGTATCAACATTAATTTGTTTACATAACTCTTTGAAAAGAAAGTTAACTTACCTATAATAAATGTTTAAAAAAACAACTTATGTCTTGGATATACATGCTTCTATGCCCACAAACTACATTTCTGACAATTTAAATATTTACATGATAACTTAAAATGGTGTGATCTATCATCATTTGAAGGATGAGAAGACAACAGGTGTATGCGGATGATATTTTCTATGAAAATTTAATGGTGGTAAAGTTGGTCTTCTTGTCTTTCTTCGCCTAGTCACAAGTCCACTGTCATCGAAATGCTGATTATGCTGCTTTTGAAGACGATGTTTATCAGAATGATGTTGAATATGTTTAAGATGTGTAGATGTAGCTAAAGCTTTACTATCACTCTCAAAACTACCCACACCACCCTCACCATCATCTTCACTCTCTTCATTTTCCGCTTCTTCAACTACTGTCACTTTTTTATCATTCAGTGTAGAGCTAATTTTACTTGATTGGAATGTTTTAAATAAACGTTGATAGCTAAATGAAGACTTTGTACTGAATTTCATTGAGTTTATCTGACATTTTAACGTTTTATCAGTGTTTTTATGCGTTTTTATTGCATTAGATGTTGGTACTGAGGATGATATCAACGCTTGTTTCGTTTGTTCTAATGAAGTAACTGATTGCTGTTGACTAATAAGGCGTGCAAATACATTGAAAGTTAATAGTTGGTTCGCTGTTGGACGATCAGATGGATTACGTGCAAAACAAGCATCTAGAACGGCGATAAGATCAGTAGTCAAATCTTTCGGATATGTAGGAGGAGAGTTGGAAGTAGCAATCTGAATAGTGTACAAATGAGAAAATATGATAGATATGATACCAATCACTATGACGATAATAAACAAAACGTATTAGTTTAATAATAATCAGAGAAAACAGTGAGTAGTAAAATGGTTAGGAATTAGTGGATGAAATGAGCTCAGAAATTATTGTCAGATACTGGTCTACCATATCTTGCATTTGAATTCTTGTAAACCAGTCACTTCTTATTCGAAAGAACTCATGTACTACAGATGTGATCGATAGATTTTATTAATCTGTTTGTTTACCAGCAAAATTAGAAGGAATATGGTGTAGGACAAAAAGAAGTAAATGAAAACAATCAGGATATATTCATAAATAATTTTTGAACGTTTATTTAGGTAGTTATTGATAAAACTCAGTGTCTAGCTTAGCGATCAACAAATGTTACTAAGTAGTAATTCAGGTAGCGATTATAATGCTCTGTAGAAGGTTGTTGACTATTGCTAATCAAAAGTCTATAAATCCGTTAAAACTTAGAATATTATTGTTCAGTTAAAATGTTGTTACAAAATCACGAAGAAAACAGAATAGATTAAGTGAGGCTAACAGTGAAATCTAGGACTCGTATTTCACTTTATTTAGGACTCATCAACTTGATGCACTTGCATATTAGTATTGACGTTCACACTATTAGTTATGTTTCATCTATTCTAGATAGCCTGGGAAGTAATGGTTATATTGAGTCAATCCACACAGTATTCATATGCCTCCAAAGACTGATCGAAATGCAGTCACTTATATCAACAACTGGATAATTCATTTAAGTGTTTTGGAAATTTCACAGATTGAAAAGAAACAATGCAACAAACTTACTGTGAATTTTCGATTCAGTTAGTTGTGAAACACCATCTTAAAGCAAACTATTAAATGTCTTAACGTTAGTTTTATCTACACATATAGTATACACACCCATATATACATCACATATTTCATCATGTTTTGGTGTGTGGGCTGAGATACTGCCCGGGTGCCCAAACCGAAGCAGGTGGTTTTCTTAGGGGGCCACACCCCGAGCCTTTGACCTAAAGGTCTAGTCCACAAGGCAGTGGAGCATCGTGAGGAGATGCAGTCCCATGGAAGCCGGTGACCAAAAGTTGGTTCATACGCCATTTGTTCCTTCAGGATAATGGAGCCCATGTGCACCATAGAATTGGGATCCGGTTATAGCGCCGGACGTTCGCTTTTCGTCCTCTCATTTTCGTAAACAACACCCCCGCCACGAGAAGGCAGTGAGTAGGACTTCCCTGGCAGAGGCTGTATACGCGTGGCCGTGTGAGAGTATTTCGAGAGGGAGGGCGAACCCTCCCCGCTCTCGGCCATACCAGGGCATTTGGGGGCTAAAGCCGACTCCTCGACCGGGAATCGAACCCGGGCCTTCCACGTGACAGGCGGAGATACTCACCACTATACAATCGGTTATGTGCTGTTAGACTAGAAAGTACCATCAGAGTGAGAAGAAATCGGCGTGAGAAACGATGTCTTTTCGTCATCTCCGCCTATGCCCCGACAGATTGCAGCCCGGATGCAATCAAGGATGAGTTCTACCACCAGTTATCTGTTCTTCTCCAGAAAGTGCGTTCGACAGATATTGTAGTACTAGCTGGAGACTTGAATGCTCAGGTCGGGCGTCTAGGCACAGAAGAGAGTCGTTTAGGTGGCCGATGGGGACTCGTTGGTCGCAGGACAGATAACGGGGAACGTCTACTGCAACTATGCACAGACCACAACCTGTTTCTGGCTAGCACTAACTTTCGGCACAGTCATCGCCGATGTGCCACCTGGCGTCCCCCTTCTGCATCTCAAGCCTGGACTCAGATTGATCACATCGCGATCAGCTACCGCTGGCGCGGTTGTGTACAAGACTGCCGCTCCTTTTGGAGTACCTATCTGGAATCTGATCATGCTCTGGTCTGCGCCAATCTTACCTTACTTTTCAGTGGACAAAGAAGTGACCGCCACCAAAGGATTGATGTTAGCAAGCTGGCTGCAACTTCTGTTGTTAGTAAGTACCGAACCGAGCTAGCTTCTAGGCTAGCCACTATTCCACCGAAAAGTATAGATGAGCATTGGTTGCAATTGCATGACGCCATGAAAATGGCGGGTCAAGTCAGCTGTGGGATTGCGAAACGTCCCGCTTACAAGCACTGGGTTTCTTCTGGTTCCTTACAACTGATTGAAGCCCGTCGGTCTACTCCGGGTGACCGTGAGTTTGACCACAGACGAAGGTTGTTACGTAATGAAATCGGGCAAAGCTTGCGTAAGGACCGAGAAACCTGGTGGTCGGAGCGTGCCAGTGAGTTGGAAGCAGCAGCTGCATCTGGTAATTACCTGAAGCTCTTCCAACTCATCCGAGCCACCGGCAGCAAGAAGTCTGGTGTGAGCGAAACAATCTGCGAGGATGACGGAACGCCAATCACTAACATCCATCAACGTCTTGGACGATGGGCAGAATTCTTTGAAGGGCAGTTCAACTGGCCTGCTGCTCCGGCAACATCGGTCAGACTGTCCTGCCCTCCTTGGCCGGTGACGACTGATCGACCAAATGAGGCGGAAGTCCGCAAGGAACTCCAACTCTTGAAACGTTACAAATCACCAGGCCCAGACGACTTACCCCCGGCTCTTTTTAAAGATGGTGGTGACTTTTTGACTAACGGACTGACGACGTTGTCTACAAAGATCTGGGAACTAGAGAGTGTACCAACGTCATGGAATGAGTCGATAGTTGTCCCTATCTTTAAAAAGGGCTCACGTTGTTCCTGTAACAACTATCGGGGGATAAGTCTACTTCCAACTGCGTCCAAGCTATTGGCTTCCGTCATACTTCGTAGGTTGTTCAGAACCCGAGAAAGATTGACTCGCGAGGAGCAGGCTGGGTTTCGTTCTGGTCGAGGATGTATTGATCATATCTTCACCCTCTGCCAAGTGTTAGAACACCGCCATACTTATCAAAGGCCAACAATCGTAGTGTTTCTTGATATCAAGGCTGCTTTCGATTCGTTGGACAGAACTGTTCTCTGGAATTGTCTATTGAAGAGGGGTGTGCCTGAGAAGTTTATTAACATCCTAAAAGCCTATACACAAACACCTCAGGTAGAGTGAGGGCATACAACCACCTTTCTCCACTATTCCATTCAAGCAGTGGAGTTAGGCAGGGTTGCCCAATCTCACCATTCCTCTTCAACTTTGCCATCGATGACATTCTGGAAACAGCTCTGACGGATGTGTGTAATGGTGGTGTGGATCTGTTGCCTGGAGAAAGACTTCTCGACGTTGAGTATGCGGATGATATTGTCTTACTGTGCGAGAATGCCCAAGCCATGCAATCCGCACTTAATCAGTTGGCAATCAGTGTCCGTAGGTATGGTATGTGCTTTGCACCTTCGAAGTGCAAAGTACTTCTACAAGACTGGCAGGATTCTAATCCTGTACTCACTCTGGATGGTGAGCAGATAGAAGTAGTCGAGAAGTTCGTGTATCTAGGTAGCTGCATAAGTGCTGGTGGTGGCGTGAGTGATGAGATCGATTCACGTTTAGTGAAAGCCAGAGCGGCTTATGCCAATCTGGGCCATCTTTGGCGCCTTCGTGATGTTAGTCTGGCTGTAAAAGGTCGGATCTACAACGCGACGGTGAGAGCAGTTTTGCTCTATGCTTGTGAAACCTGGCCTCTCCGAGTTGAGGATGTTAGACGACTCTCTGTGTTCGATCATCGTTGCCTCCGAAGGATTGCTGGCATCCAGTGGCAACACCATGTCAGTAATGCAGAGGTTCGGCATCGAGTGTTCGGTCACAGAGACGATAATGAAATTGGTGTCACCATCTTGAAACACCGACTTCGGTGGCTTGGACATGTTCTACGAATGTCGTCCCAGAGAATTCCTCGTCGTGCATTATTTGCCGACTCTGGGACTGGTTGGAAAAAGCGGAGAGGTGGTCAGTATATGACATGGTGTCGTGGTATGAAAGAAAGCTGCAAAGGGCTAGCTTATGTTGGTCCTTCACGACTCCCTGGTTGGGGTCCGAGAGACGGTGTAACGCAGTGGCTAGAGACGTTATCAGATATGGCTCAGAATAGAAGCCAGTGGCGATCGTGCTGTAACCTTCTTTTACTTTCTTCATAAAAAGGTGGTCGTATTCTTCCTTAACTGAAAGATCTGTTCTGATTGTACCTTTCCGTTTCCCCCACCATTGTTCTCTCTCTCTCTCTCTTCTTTTTTTATAATTCCCCACGTTCATTACTTTTTTTTTTCTTCTCTTTTCTCCTTCTCTTCTAATTATCACTGTTTTGTGTGGCGCATATATATTTGGTGCCCCCCTGTACCAATATTTATGTGTTCAAATAAATAAATAAATAAATATATACATCACAAAACAAATAAACAACTGACACACACATGCGCTAATCTTTCATGATAATATTTCCATTAATTATTTTTTTAAAAACAACACATGATTTAAATTTTTAACTAGTTTAAAGATGAATTGTGAGTGTTGGCTAATTTCATTTAGCTTATTGAATTCAACGGAGCGTAAATATCATATTAAAGTTATTATCATTATTATTATTTTTATCGGGTATGAGACAGTAATCCACCGCAGGCACTGATCGAGCATACGGAATATCGTAAAATTGACTAGTTTGGTCTAGAAGTTGAGAGTTCTCATGTGAAACTGAAGGTCCTGTGTTAGATTATCAGATGCGGAGTCATGGATGCAAATTGATGAAAAGTCCCATACTAGGATGAAACGGCCATCCAATGCTACCAGGTTTTGAATGATGGACTAAGATCAAATTCACTTGGTGTTGTTTTACTTGTATCTTCCCATTGTTATTTAGGACTGCAATTGGTCAGTCTCATGTGCATCCTGTGCGGATTGCCTCGATATAGCCTCAAGTCACAAGCTTTTTAAGCAAACATGCTAGCCAATATCCATCTTTGCTTAACTAAGATCAGTTTGTGATTTAAGCTACAGAAAGTTTCACAATCTCAACAAATCCCCCATAGTAATATATTTATTGAATAAACAGAATATATACATATACTGTTATACACTTACAGTGAACATAAGAGCAAAACGGTTTGTTAATCTAGCATCATGCCATGGTGGTTTACTTGTAAGCATTTCTACTAGACAACAACCAACAGACCAAATATCACAAGCTCTACCATATGTTTCACCTCGAAGTACCTAATAATATTTTTAAAAAATGAAAATACAAGTCGTAATAGTGATTGGATTATTTGACAATATCTAAGACAGTAATATTAATAAGAAAGAAAAATATTCTTTATCACATTGGAATTAATCGAGTCCAATAAAGATAAACTGAAGACTATAAACTACCTACATGAAAACCTAAAGCATTTAATCAAATGTGGTTTATTGAGTTGATCATCGATGAAACTACTGTCCAAAGCTTCCAGGTCTTCTATAGTTATCTGGCTTAGATTGGTTTTTGATCATCATAAAACTTAGCGATCTCCACACCTCCCAAACTGACAAGCAGGAATAGTATGAATAGCCGGTGAAATAATGGATGGTGGTTAGTGTTAAATCGTAAATAGAAAAAGTTTGAAAATGCATAGACCATTGGATTCCAGCTTAGTAGTATCGTTCTCACTACGAGACCTGAAAGTATCGAATGGTCCGATGTGGAATTGTAGCGTGAACATTATGGAAAAATCTAAAACTAGAATGGAACATCTATATCGAACTCATCAATTGTCAATGATTCTCCTGAAGCTAATAAAATAAAACTGATTTTTAAATAACTTTCTAAAAATAAATGTGAATTGAGAAGAGTAAGTAAACGACATGGAGTAGAATTCCCAAGATTTCCAACGAAAACAGGGGTTAACTGGAGTTGTCATTACTGCGATCGATTTTCAGACATACTATCTCGTCGTCAATCACTGACTTAATTTCAGTTTAGTCAAATGAATTATCTCATTCAATGGAGCCTGTCACAGCAATGATAAGACATATAATTAACATTCAACAAATAAAAAAAGTAATCTTACTTCTGGTGCCATAAATGAAAATGTACCTATAACTTGTCCTTGAAATTGACCAGCAACACTTTGTTCACCACTTAAACGAGCTGAGGCTCCAAAATCTGATATTTTGATAACAGTCCCAGTACTATCGATCAAAAGATTAGCACCTTAAATATTACAAATATACAAAAAGTGAAACTATAAATTATCAAATATAGTCCTATATAAGATACATTATACTTTACTGTATTCCGTTTAATGTACCTACAGACAAACAGTGTTGATTGAAAAACTGTAAATAGATGTAATATCAACTCTTCGTTAACAGTAGGAATGACCGCACAACAGATAATTAACGTCAAGGTGATCTAAGAGGAATAACAGAAATTTGTGATATCCATATTTCGATCTTATTCACTCATACAAAAGAACAGTTGAAATTCGTTGATGGCAAATCTGCTATACAGGATCTAACAAAGAATGTCAATCTATCTAAATTAACATCTACTTTACAAATCGTAACTGAATTTTTTGAGGCTGCCTATAGATCATATAAGAGTTCTTCAACGAGCTTAGTATTCCATGTACTCAGTAAATGAACGCGCGTTCAAGCATTTATGTGCTTATTGGTTATTCACCATCACAGTCACAGAAGAGTAACATTTTTGTGATATTACTGCTAATGGCAATATGAGCACTTAATGTAAAATACGGTGTATTTTTAAATAAGATGATGACTAAAGTGTCAATTGTGTAGTTTAGGAATTTTACAATTCACATTAAATACATAGTTTCATATTCTAGCTAACAAAATTTCTAAAACCACTTATATATTGCTGTATTGGGACCACATTAGATTGAGTGATTGGATCCACATTTTACTATTTTTGTTACTACATATTTAAAGATTGAAAGATTTATTTGAACCCGACTTTGTGTTGACTGGTCTCCATTAGTAAGTTAACTTGGAAAATGGTAATGAAATTTTTGTTTCCTAGAAGGTGATATTTCTTCCAATAATAGTCAAAGTCGTTTTTAGTGAAGTTGGATGGTGGCTAGAAGTATAATCCAGGATGTGTTTCTTTCTATTCAGAACTCATCGTCTGGACATACCTGCATCCGAGTGCTGATGTTTACTCTGAGACTCAAACCCAGTACCTACTATTTCAAACTCTTACACATTATCCATTGAGCTACTGGGTCCATATTGCCACTGGCTTGTGCAATGAGTATGAATTTTAACTAATAGTATTTGCCTTTTCCAATAGCTGAATTTTTATTAATAAATTCTGACTAAATAATCATATTAAGACAATTCAATCATGATTGACTTGTGCCGAAAGAGACTGACCATTTGCAGCTCTGAATATCAGCAACGAAAAAAATACAAACACTACAAATATTAGTCAGAAACATTTCAGATTTTCAATCATATTCTTAATAATTTCAATGCTATTCACATTTAAATAATTCAATGGGGGGATATTCAAAACTAATAAAACGCTTGTTCAACTCTGAATTTCAGTTACAAGAAAACGTTTAGTGCATTAAAGTCATATTATTTTAACGTGAAGCTTTCTATACAGTTGGTCTACTTCAAAGCTACATAACTCATATGAACTAAGTTTCCTTTTTTAACCTTCCAGTGAAGAAAATAAATATGGTATTGGGGGACTTATGGAGATTAGTTAAAGTTGATTTTTATCACGGACTGATGTTTGGAGGGTAGTTATCAAAAGATAAGCGATATGGAATAACTCTTTTATTTTAATGAAATTGATTAATTCGTGGTGAAAATTTCAGAGTTGATATAGTCTATATAACATAAACGTACCACAAATTTAAAGAATCCAGTTGCATAGTGGTCAAAAACGTTTGCGCTATTAACATCACGATAATCTATTTGACAAAACCTGCTGATCAATTTTGTAGTCTGTCCACTTGCTAGTTTAATTTAGTAGTATTAGCTGAGAAATAATTTGAAAGCTTTCTTATTATAATAAAAATAACGGTGGATGAAATATTCACTTTAAGTTACCTTTTAAATCACGATGCAATATGCCATGTTTGTGTAAATAGGCTAAACCACGTATTAATTGTATACCATAATTTAGCGTAATTGATTCATTAAAAGCTCCATATTGCTGTAATAAACTTGTTATACTACCCCCTGGCATCCATTCAATAAATAAATCAACGAACCCACGTTTTACGCAATGCACAGCACCAAATAAACGTAGAATATTAGGATGATCTAACTGGAGCATAATACGTACTTCGGTTTCAACTTCAGCTAATTGATTTAAAGATGTCGGTGATAATGGACGATGATAAATTGGATTTTGTTGACCATTATTATTATCATTGCTATTATCATTATTATTGTTACAATTTGGTTCATTTTTATGGTCATTTTGTTGATGTATTTGTGATGGATATGCTTTGTTCTTCTCTGAAGAGAAAAGTGAAAACATACCATTTCGACCAAGACGTATACGCTTTACAGCTAATAGAAGGCCAGTCCTAACATCACGTGCTTGGTAACACTGTGAAAATGCACCATGACCTAGAATAGGACCACGTATCCAATCAACGGATTCATAATATTCATCTGAATTAGGTAATTTTTTAGTTTGTTGAAATGAACTCATGACAAATGACAGACCAGGTATTGGCAATAAAGGTTTTAATTGATGTGTAGAACGTGTTAAGGCATTTCTTAAGACAGTAACTTGTTCACATTGTAAATCAGCTTCGGAACCAAGTGATCGACCTGTATAAATTGGTTCGTTTAAATTATTTTGTTGTTGCTGTTGTTGGTCTTCCCCTTCATTTTCATCATCATCCTCGTCATCATCTTCAAATTCACTTACACTACTATAGTTACCAGATTCAGATAATGCAACCAGATCATACGCTGGTTCCAGTGCAATTCGAGCAAATGATGATTTTAAAATTTGAGCTTTAATCTTTTTAGTATTTTCGCTTTCATCATCATCATCATCACCGTTATTAACAGTAGCAGCAGGAGCATTAATACTGTTATCATTCTCAGATCTAGTGGAATCTTTTTTATAATCAATTATTAATTCAGAATTACTGATAGCTAATCTTCTTGGTGGTGGGATTGGTGGTATTTTTATAGAAGAGAAAGAAGTGTTCTTAAAAGATAACTCTTCATCTAGTGGATGTAGTGAATTATGAGCACCTTGTTGTTCATATCGCTGTTGTTGACTTGAAATATCTTTAGAAGAATTAACTTCGTCTATTCTATTGGATTTTTCTATTTTACCGATGTTTTTGTTATAAGCTGGACATGTTATGTATGATGATAAAGCTAGGGCATCAGTATTAGATGGTGTAGCATATGATTGTTTAATATCTGTTGGTAATTGATTTGATAATGAAATGTTCCAACTATTATTCTTAGTTATTCCATGTACATTAGATGTTTCATTTGATGAGTAAAGTAGCAAACACAATCGATTTCGAAACCATGTAGCCAGTGGTGCATCCAATCGATTAATTTCTGATTCAATAAATGAATTTGCATTAAACGTAGACGGTGGAATTGGATCATAACGATCAAAAATTTCTTCACTTTGCCAAGTAAGTAATGCTCTGGCAGCAGTGAGAAAGACTCGTCTAGCCTATAAATAAAGTAAACAGTTAAGATAGTCTTTCGAAAAAACGTTCTTGAGTAGATTGGAATAAACTATTTTCTCATAATAAATAACGGTATATAGTGAATACGAAATTACTTGGATTTGATGAAATAAAAAATGAATTGTGAAACATCTGAACCAACGTTCTCTTAAGGTTACTAGCACTGAATCCTATGATTGCTTGAGCTACATGAGTCAACTATTACTACTCTGATTTTCTTTCTACTTCAAAAATCACCTCTGTATTTGAAAATTAGTTTGTCAACTGTGGCTGTTCGAATCAATCGTTCAATTTATCCAATTCCATTTGAATTTAGATTAAAAATGTCTATCTGAGTACTTAATTTGATCAAAAGTAATAACCTTTATACCTCTCATGAATGAAATTGGTACTTGATTAGCAGAGTAAGGCATCGAAAATCAATTTGCATGAAGAAAGATTAAATTTTCCGAAGTTGTCGATTTATATTACTTTAGAGTGTAAGATTTTTTAAAAATCCAACTACCGACAGTGTGAAAATGTTTGTTGTTTCAACTTATTGAAATAACAAGTAAATTCTGTATCTGGTATTGTTAGAGCCACTGATGAAACATCAGTAGTTACATGATGAGGAATGGTTATTTAGGAATTTTCGTAGACTGGAATTGTTCAATGTTTGTTGTTAACTTTAGTATGCTAAAAATCACTGTGACACTTGCTATGCTTGTCATTTACTGAGAAATCATTGACAGTAAGAGAAATGAATGGACAGATATCTCGTTTATAGTAGAAATTTCATCAGAAGTACAGGAGAATAATTTATTTCAAGATCAAAGGTCGGATTGTTCAACTCCACTTTCCAAGTGTGTTATTCTTTGAATTGTTTGTTTAATTTTTTTAAACAAATGTTTAATATTTGAAAATGTTCATTTAAAGATCGATAAAGCTTCAGTTATAGAGAGTGAATAAATTCTTGGGATCTACTGAGCTGGTATCATAGATTCATGAGAATTAGTCCAGTCCAGTGGTATCTGTAACTTATTTTTTTCCTCTACAAATGACGTAATGGAAAATAATTTGATTATATCATAATCGGCAGTAATACGAGTCATTTAAACTAACTTCGTTAAGTTATTGTCAAATTGAATTTCACAGGCTTATATATATTTATTTTTAAAAGTGCCTCATTAAAGTTAGTTAATTTCGAGAAATCGTAAATAATATTCTCATGTTTATTCAAAATTATCAGTAAAAAAGTATTTAATCATAGATACACAATTTCTTATAACTTACAATTCGGTTAGCTTTATATTGTGTATAATGATAATAATCCACATTATTTAATTCATTCTGGTGTTGATGTTGATCCGTTGTTGTAGTTTTAATCGTTCTCATCGCTGATGATATTGATGATGATGGTGGTGGTAATCCTGATAAAAAATCACCACAATGTGCATCAGTTGATTGCAATTGATAATGATATGGAAAACACATAGTCATATTATCCGGTTTCGGATAAATCGGTAATAAATGACGTCGAGCAAATATTATAGTAGAGCACAAATGTCGTCTAGCTAATGATTGGTCTGTTATTGACAATGGTGTTGTTAGTGATGATGATGATGAATTTGTTTCATCTTTAACAACTGATGATGACTTATCCATTGGTGATGACATGTCAGTATTATTATTATTATTATTATTACTATTATTATCAGGATTATTCTTGATACTTAAATCAGATGACAATGATAAGGATTCACGACGTTGTGATTGTTGTTGCATTAGTAATTTTCTTCTTGTTTGATGCATTCGAATTAGTTTATCAACAACTGTTAGACGACCGATTAAATGAGTAGCATGAAACTTTGCAGAACTTAAAACAAAACGTACCATGTGTTGTATTCCACTAACAGGTAAACATTGAGAAGCTGTACAAATTAAGTATAAAGGAAATGTGCTATTTTCAATGGTTCTATGAAAACTTAAATTAGAAAATGAATACAGAAACTGAAGTATTAGGATTTAAATAATGATAGTTACTTTTAATTCGCTTCACTATGTTATTGATATATGTTGACCATCAGTTGTCCCTATTTTATTTATTTATTTGAACACACAAATATTGGTACAAGGGGGCACCAAATATATATGCGCCACACAAAACAATGAGAATTTAAAGAGAAGGGAAAAAAGGTAAGGAGAGTACGGATTAAAAAAAAACAAGAGAACAATAACGACCAGATTAGTGTAAGGTAGTGTGATAGTAATAATGATGGGAAAACGAAAAGGTACAATCAGAAGAAATCTTTCAGTTAAGGAAGAAGCAACCGCTTTTTACGAAGAAAGTAACTTTACTACACTCAAAATATACATCTATGTCAACGTATAAACTTTTTTGTCTAATCAGGATGTGTTATAAAAATAATCCTAAGTACTGAGTGCAAAATTTCAACTACAAACAACAAAACAATGGTATTTTCTATTCTGACTTAAGGTGTATTCTACTTGTTTGAAAGAATTAGTTTCTTCTTATTTCAAAGCTTCATTAAGAAGCTTTACTGTTTATTCATTCCATTTTACCGCCAAAGTGAGTCAAAACTGATATGATTGAACTGAAGAAGTTACTAACTATATAGTTACACTATGTCATTACATCTATGGAGAGATTAAATATGGAACTATATTTAATCATGATGGATGTGTCCTAAACTTATATGTTCAAAACAATTGGACTGTTTTCGTTTAAACATGAGCTACTAAACATCCTTACATTTATTTACTTCACTCATTTCACACTACGACACTTGTTTGATTATTCCAAGAATACATTTAAAATTACAGATTTGTCACACAACCGATTTTCTTACATGTAGTTTACATGGACAAATATTTTTAGTTGGTAACGAGAAGTTTCACTTGCGGTGAAATCACGAGATGGTGAACAATATTTATGGGTCGTACATAGCGTAAGGTAGGGAAAGATGTAATTATTTAAAAAATTTTAATTCTACAGTGATTAGAATGATTTCTTCTCAAATGTCCATCCTGATAAAACATGTTAACCTGAAAAAAAGTCGGGTTAGATGAGGCTATAAGACAGCCCTTTCAAAAAGATGATGGTACCAGTTGTAAACGCTTTGCTAATTACTGTTAGCTCATTACGTCATGTAGGAGTGAATATTTTGGAAAGACAAAACTTTCGGAACTATTCTACATGGAATTATTACATACATCTTTATTGTGTAATATCTACATTTTTGGGTTGTGCTGTTTTCATATTGTCCTAATTATAACCTTTCATTTGACTTATTATTTGTCGATATATGTCTTACCGGTCCGGAATTATTGTTGTCTAATTATTTATCTATTACCGTGTTTGTGTAACTTACGACTCTGTTGTCCTATTGGTGTGTTGTGGTCGTGTAACTGATGTATATAAAAGTTAGAATAATATACGGTGAAACCACCTTGTCATCTTCTGGTTGTTCACAAGGGGGATATTAGAAACTCGTGGATTAATTGGTGTTAAGATCTTGATCGTAATTCATAGTCATTGAGTAAGTGGTTAAGAGTAGGTCATTAGTTCGACAGGTACAAAACGATCCTGTCATTAACGGACTCTATTATCAAGTGACTAGATCACGTGAGAACAGTAAATAAAATTCCGTAAAAGTATAGGGATAAGCCAATCAGTGTCTGGAAAACGATTGTAAGCTTTTGTAAGCCAATGAACGACTCTAATCTTATTTCGCATAACATGAGCAGTATGAATACTCTCGTATAGTGCTCAGAACGTTTAACAGGAAAATGAAAATATTTTTTAATTATAGAGTGAAAGTGACAGTTTTAAATGCTTAGTTCTTACCGTATGACGCAGGCAAACAAACCCTCACCTAAACTTTGAGTCCAAAATCCTAAATGCCTAACCGCAAGCTCCCAATCCATATGGTTACAAATTGTTTTTTCATTACTGCTAATTTCAGTTCGTGATGAAAACTCTAACCTTAATTTCTAACGCTAACTTCTAGTCATAAATCTTAACAGTAATTACTAATCCGGAGACAATCTGAGGACTCCTAAATTCTCTTTGAGTCATTATAAAGGTTCGAGAAGATATATATTGCATATCCATATAGACGAATTTATACTTTGTTGTTTTCTAGGTATACAGACAGAAAAGATTTTATGACTTTGATAGATTCACTAGTTATGCAAAATCTGTCTACACTTCGTAATATTATTGTTTACTTTTCCATGAACTACTCATTTAGAAAAGTCATTTTCCGATTGGATAGGGAACTGAATAAAAATCCCTTGTGGTTGTCTTAAGCTCATCCTTATATCATACTTATACGGAAAATTTGAACTTAAAACATTGCATGTAAGTGATGTACAAAGAAAGGCACTATTTCCTAAAGTTCCTTCATAAATAAGGATGCAAATAAAATAACAGTAAGTAGAAAAAGCCTTCTTACCAGAGTGAACTTCTCGACCGATAGCTAAAGCACCTGTTTGTCCTTTGGCTAGTTCTATAAGTGTCGCTAACGCAAGATTGCAACGATCACGAAAGTTGGCACCAGCTGGTATTTTCGGTTGTACAATACTTAATTCATTCGTAGGTTTTGTGAGATTATTTTCATCAATTTTAACATTTAATTGACAACTGGCAGATTTTTTCATATCTAAATAAGATGAATTATTATTTGTCAGATTACAATTTGTAACTGTTTTATTTTCATCATTTTGTTGATGAGTTGCTAACGGTAAAAATGATTCCGGATTACGTAGATTCCATAAGTTACTTTGTCCACCTACGAAGCGTAATAGACGACGTAGGATTGGACCAATTGCTTTTTGCAGTACCGTTTGTGTTTCTTTATTATAAGCAACTAAATATCCAAGTAACTCACGAAAAGCTCGCTAATTAGATTTCCAAAAAGTAAGAATGAAATAAAATGATAAAATAAATTTAAACAACTATACGGTAACTTAGCATTTCGAATTGTAAACAGATGATTTATACATTTATTTAACTGTCTACGAAACAATCAGTTATCGTCTAGTGCAGATAACAGGTATGGTGCAGCGTTTTCAATAAAGAAACTAATCAATCTGAAGCGGTGACGCAGTAGTCAAGCCATTTGATTTTTAACCATTAGGTCACACATTTGAAGCCCATTTTATCTGCTTCCATTTGGCAATCTGAGTAGTATCCCAGCCCTCACAGAAATGATATGGCTCAAAGCTGAGTAGCACTCTATTCTTGCTAATCGAGTTCTAACTAAAGCCAATGTAAGCTAACAGTGGGTAAATAATAAATAAGTTGGAGAACCAATGAGATGAATAATACTAGATGCAAAAGAAACAACATTTTATAATGAAAAAGAAACTAATCTTTGTTATTTATTCTAAATTTATATCCCAAAATGCATAGATCCATCATTTTCTTTATGAGGGGATTCGATCATAAACCAGTTGATCTCGAGTACTATCATATGTATGTAGACGATTGTCGTTCCCTGGTCTCACAAGCCGTGGAAGGATTCTTCTTGAGATACCTCACAATAGGAAACTGTATTAATAGTGGTCCTGATGACTTGGGAGAGTGACCGTTTGGGCCTAGTGGCGAGTGCTTCAGGTGCATCACATGCGGTCTTTTCCAGGTTGTTCTTAATATGTTAGCTCTAACATTAAAACCTTACTCCCGGCAGTAGAAATCTGTGTGTAAACGGAGCTATGATATTTTTAGGGTTGCTGGCAAATCAATTGATGAAGTAATTAGCTTTCATCGACTGAGGTGGTTGTGACACGCATCGCGTATGCTCAACTACATCATACATTTACTACTTCATCGACTGGTTCGTGATTTTCTTCCTTGAGTTTAACCTCAGCACTACTCATTCGGTGATGCCAACATATATGAACCATGCTTCGAAAGCACTTATGATCAAATACTTGTAAACTACAAGTATCCTCTACTTTGAAGTACATTTCACAACCAAAAAGTAAAACACAGTGAACTAATGAACAGTATACTCATCCTTTGGTTTGAAAATGGATATTGTGTTTAATAAAAGGACAGTGTTAGTTGGTAAAGTCAAGCGAGCTTTCTGAATCCATGTCCAGATTTTATTACACACCAAATCACTAAAGTGGATGAGGCTTACAGATAAATAAAGACTAGTCCCTTCAATGACTCAACCACATTAGTTAAATCTATAAAAAGTGAGGAGAAAAACCCTGATTAAAAATAAGGACCGTGGGAAGCTCGTATAGCACTAGCTTTCCTATAGAGTCCTGATTATCAAATCTTCAGTTATCATTGTCCATCATTTGTGTGTTATACAGAATCATTTGTCGATTTACACGAAATAACTGACCATTCATCATTTCATAAATAATCCGACTCTAGTTTTTAACTTCTCGGAGAATTATTTCATTAAGTAGGTCTGATTTTTATCAAAACGATTTTAGAGAATGATTTCATGTGTTTAGTCCATTCAGAATAATCTTTCAAGTAAGTCTGTTACAACACTAAAAACCACCAAATTACCACGAAAATGAATCCTAGCTAAAAATATAAAATAATATCCAGACTCTTGGTAGTATAGGGTCTTCTGAGTTAGAATAATGATTATGAAACATTCATGATTTTTCCGAATAACATTATCAACGTATATTTCGTCATCATAAGGTAAGGAGTTTGTGAAAATAATGCTCAAATATTAACTAGATACTCACGATAGAAGTAAAAGCTATAAACGTTTTTCAATATAAAGGAAATCGTATTATAAGAAACTTACCAAAGCATCAGTGAATATTGCATCGACAGGATCATCAAGAAGAAACTGAATTAACTTAAACATTACTTTCACACAATCCGGTCCTGTATATAATTGACATTTCGCTGGTGTAGCACAATTTCCATCATGGTGATTCAATGAACAAACAAGATTATTATGACTTGAAAGTAAATTACATTGTCTAGCTAGAATTACTTGACTTATTGTTAAGTGAGTTGCTTTTTGTAATGCATATTGTCTAACGGTCCAATCACATGAAATTAGTCCATTAGCAATCTATATAAGTGTTATAAATAGGAAGATTTTCTTTCAAATGAAAAGAAAACGATGCTTCAATAAAAAAGACCTAAAATTGTGAAGTTCATCTCATTCGTATATGTTAAAATAACATGACTTTATCATAAGCTGATCTGTTGGATTCATAAACTAGTATGGAAAATCAGTAGACTTGAAAACAGTAAGTGCTATGAATTGATAAGTCGAACTTTCAAGTCTTTAATTTGTTCAATACAGTCAACTAATTGGCATGATCATAATAGCGTACATCAAACTAAATTTCAAATTTAGATATTTTTGACTTCATACTCTCAATTTGATACAAAGTTAGCTTTTACATGGTTATAGAGTAACTGATTACTTTAAAAGTAAGATAAAATGAATGGGTTATAGGTTAAGTTGAAAAGTCTAAATAACCAGAAAATAGGTCATAAACAAAGCAGGAGGTGGTACAAACGTGCCTTAGTCCTAGGTCTTGCACTTCATATCAATAGAGAGAAATGAAATTCATAAAATCGAAACTGAAGAATGAATCACTTCCCGAGATTACTGAGTGAAGCGTTTTTCTTCTTCAAATTAGTTATATATACATAGGCAGGTAAAGTTGTGTAGTATGAAGGATCAGCTGTCTCGGAACTTCCTGTCATGATACTTTTGTCCTACTCAATTATTTATTTATTTGAACACATAAATATTGGTACAAGGGGGGCACCAAATATATATGCGCCACACAAAACAATGATAATTAGAAGAGAAGGAGAAAAGAGAAAAAAAAGTAATGAACGTGGGGAATTATAAAAAAAAGAAGAGAGAGAGAGAGAGAACAATGGTGGGGGAAACGGAAAGGTACAATCAGAACAGATCTTTCAGTTAAGGAAGAATACGACCACCTTTTTATGAAGAAAGTAAAAGAAGGTTACAGCACGATCGCCACTGGCTTCTATTCTGAGCCATATCTGATAACGTCTCTAGCCACTGCGTTACACCGTCTCTCGGACTCCAACCAGGGAGTCGTGAAGGACCAACAGAAGCCAGCCCTTTGCAGCTTTCTTTCATACCACGACACCATGTCATATACTGACCACCTCTCCGCTTTTTCCAACCAGTCCCAGAGTCGGCAAATAATGCACGACGTGCAATTCTCTGGGACGACATTCGTAGAACATGTCCAAGCCACCGAAGTCGGTGTTTCAAGATGGTGACACCAATTTCATTATCGTCTCTGTGACCGAACACTCGATGCCGAACCTCTGCATTACTAACATGGTGTTGCCACTGTATGCCAGCAATCCTTCGGAGACAACGATGATCGAACACAGAGAGTCGTCTAACATCCTCAACTCGGAGAGGCCAGGTTTCACAAGCATAGAGCAAAACTGCTCTCACCGTCGCGTTGTAGATCCGACCTTTTACAACCAGACTAACATCACGAAGGCGCCAAAGATGACCCAGATTGGCATAAGCCGCTCTGGCTTTCACTATACGTGCATTGATCTCATCACTCACACCACCACCAGCACTTATGCAGCTACCTAGATACACGAACTTCTCGACTACTTCAATCTGCTCACCATCCAGAGTGAGTACAGGATTAGAATCCTGCCAGTCTTGTAGAAGTACTTTGCACTTCGAAGGTGCAAAGCACATACCATACCTACGGACACTGATTGCCAACTGATTAAGTGCGGATTGCATGGCTTGGGCATTCTCGCACAGTAAGACAATATCATCCGCATACTCAACGTCGAGAAGTCTTTCTCCAGGCAACAGATCCACACCACCATTACACACATCCGTCAGAGCTGTTTCCAAAATGTCATCGATGGCAAAGTTGAAGAGGAATGGTGAGATTGGGCAACCCTGCCTAACCCCACTGCTCGAATGGAATAGTTGAGAAAGGTGATTGTATGCCCTCACTCTGCCTGAGGTGTTTGTGTATAGGCTTTTAGGATGTTAATAAACTTCTCAGGCACACCCCTCTTCAATAGACAATCCCAGAGAACAGTCCTATCCAACGAATCGAAGGCAGCCTTGATATCAAGAAACACTACGATTGTTGGCCTTTGATAAGTATGGCGGTGTTCTAACACTTGGCGGAGGGTGAAGATATGATCAATACATCCTCGACCAGAACGAAACCCAGCCTGCTCTTCGCGAGTCAATCTTTCTCGGGTTCTGAACAACCTACGAAGTATGACGGAAGCCAATAGCTTGGACGCAGTTGGAAGTAGACTTATCCCCCGATAGTTGTTACAGGAACAACGTGAACCCTTTTTAAAGATAGGGACAACTATCGACTCATTCCATGACGTTGGTAAACTCTCTAATTCCCAGATCTTTGTAAACAACGTCGTCAGTCCGTTAGTCAAAAAGTCACCACCATCTTTAAAAAGAGCCGGGGGTAAGTCATCTGGGCCCGGTGATTTGTAACGTTTCAAGAGTTGGAGTTCCTTGCGGACTTCCGCCTCATTTGGTCGATCAGTCGTCACCGGCCAAAGAGAGCAGGACAGTCTGACCGATGTTACCGGAGCAGCAGGTCAGTTGAACTGCACTTCGAGAATTCTGCCCATCGTCCAAGACGTCGATGGATGTTAGTGATTGGCGTTCCGTCATCCTCGCAGATTGTTTCGCTCACACCAAACTTCTTGCTGCCAGTGGCTCTGATGAGTTGGAAGAGCTTCCGGTAATTACCAGATGCAGCTGCTGCTTCCAACGCACTGGCACGCTCCGACCACCAGGCTTCTCGGTCCTTACGCAAGCTTTGCCCGATTTCGTTACGTGACATCCTTCGTCTGTGGTCAAACTCACGGTCACCCGGAGTAGACCGACGGGCTTCAATGAATTGTAGGGAATCAGAAGAAACCCAGTGCTTACAAGCGGGACGTTTCGCGAACCCACAACAGACTGTACCCGCCATTTTCATGGCGTCATGCAATTGCAACCAATGCTCATCTATACTTTTCGGTGGAATGGTAGCTAGCCTAGAAGCTAGCTCGGTTCGGTACTTACTAACAACAGAAGTTGCAGCCAGCTTGCTAACATCAATCCTTTGGTGGCGGTCACTTCTTTGTCCACTGAAAAGTAAGGTAAGATTGGCGCAGACCAGAGCATGATCAGATTCCAGATAGGTACTCCAAAAGGAGCGGCAGTCTTGTACACAACCGCGCCAGCGGTAGCTGATCGCGATGTGATCAATCTGAGTCCAGGCTTGAGATGCAGAAGGGGGACGCCAGGTGGCACATCGGCGATGACTGTGCCGAAAGTTAGTGCTAGCCAGAAACAGGTTGTGGTCTGTGCATAGTTGCAGTAGACGTTCCCCGTTATCTGTCCTGCGACCAACGAGTCCCCATCGGCCACCTAAACGACTCTCTTCTGTGCCTAGACGCCCGACCTGAGCATTCAAGTCTCCAACTAGTACTACAATATCTGTCGAACGCACTTTCTGGAGAAGAACAGTTAGCTGATGGTAGAACTCGTCCTTGATTGCATCCGGGCTGCAATCTGTCGGGGCATAGGCCTACTCAAACAAGAACTTCAACATCTGATAAACCTGCAGATTACTTATAGAAATGCATATGTCGCTTCACTGAATATTCCTGTCTTTTTATCTAATCCATTTGAATTCCTTTTCATTAAAATTTTACCCCAACCCACATTACCCATTTATATAAACATCAATCTATCATGGAACTGAATAGTCACAGTCAATACAGAACTATAGCTCTCCTCCTTATATTGTAGCGTAGTATATTAGTACAATTTAGCTGTCCAACAATTTCTAGTTTTCACAAAATAACAATTTTGTACTGATATTGATGTCAGTAAACTGTCTCCGAACATATATCTTATTTTTCTATCATTTATAAACCTAAATAATTTTGTTATATTTATTATTTATATTCAGATTCTGACGTATCAACCTTATAAGAGGATTAAATTACTTATATAAAACTACCTAAGCTATAGACGTACGTCATTTGGTTTAAAATTTATGTAAAATTTAAAGTTTACAGTTTAATATTAGCAATTTATTTTAATCATATATGATATGTTATTGTATTAGATATGGTCAATCTAGTAACTGTTTATTTCCTTACAGATAAATGCATATACAATAGTTCTCTCAATGACATAGTAACCAGTTTAGTCATCGTAACATGTGATTCCAATACAAAGCATATATTACTATCATAATGTCTGTTATTGTTTTAAATTGTTAAAAATGGAATCTAATCTTTGTCTAGTAGCTGGGATAAGTGATTTACATGAGTAATAAGTAAAAAGATGTCTATATTTCATTTATAAAATACTTCTATATTATATGAGCAATATGAAGCTGTCTACATCATCCAAGGTAACTTTTTCAAATGAGATTGAAGAGAATAGTTAATGTTAAAAGAAATTTTTTAATTGTAAACTAAAAATTATTTCATAGAAAGATAGAAAGGTATCTTTGAAAAGAACCTTTAAATCTGTCATCAGTTAACAGATCGTCATAATGATTGTTAGATCTTTAGGAATGATTGACTAGAATTATTATAATTGTATAACAATGAGCTATAATAGACTCTCTTTAGAGTTGCCACTTTTTTCTAATCTTAATAATTTTTGTCAAAAAGGATCTTAAATACTGTAGCGTGTTTATTTAGGAAATTTTTAAAGATTGTTCAATTTTTCAAAACTAGAGAACACTAGATAAATATTTTGCTCTAGTTTTTGCACTCATTTCCCCATTTCCTAGGATTGAAAGCAGAAATTTTAGTCCTGTCAGTCATTGTCTTGAATTAGAATCTGATATGTTTGACATTTACAACTCCAATCAGTTCACGATGACGCGAAAGTAGCTTATTTCAGTCTACGACATGAATCATTTATAAATTATCCATACTTTTATGGTACACATTACTTAACAAGATTTCTCGAAATCTAATAGAACACATAAATAATTTGCTAATGTTCTGACAACTGCATTGCTTTAAACCTATTCCTCATACTTAATGATACTAATGAATGAGGGAATCGACAATGAAAGCGGCACAAAGGACTCTATTCTGGTTGAAACCCACCAAAAGATATTTCTGGAGTCGTGAGAAAGTTACTTTTTCCGTTAGGATTCATACATTTATGTGATGAAGTCCTGCAGACAGAGATATTACCACTAAGCTAGATGAGTAAGAACTGATCTTTTGTAGGTTTGAGAAGTTTAAAATCACTGGTTATTGAGTAGGGATAACCAACTACAGGATCTCTAGTTATTTGTGCCGGTCAGTTTCTAAAAGTCAAATTGCAGTTTGGGTAGTAGACTAAATGACTTAATATTATAATCCATATAGGTTATCGTTTAGTGGTTGAAAGCAATACATTTAAAACTAATCATTAAAAAAATTATCACGCTACAACAAGCACAACAGTACACGTACTTCCAATGAGAAAGCAGAAACACAACTGTTATACTCAGAAAAAGGTGGATCTGGCAACAAAGTGTTTACGACGGTCATATTTTCCGTTAAATTTAAATCAGCGTTTAAATTTACTGGTTGATATGTAAAGCGGAGTGTTTCATTCATTTGTTGTTGTTCATTATTTTGATTATGATATCCGTGATAGGACTGATGTTGATCATCATGTTGATTACTTTTCATTTGTTGACCATTGTTATTATCTGTTTGTTGATTATTAATTTGTTCTGATGAGGATAAATAACAAATACATTTTGTATGATTTGAATTTTTATCAGAATCATCAGGTTTGTCACATATTACATGACTATCAAAACTAGGGATATGAATCCATACACAGCCACATACTGGACATTGTGGTGAATCACCATCACTCTGAATTTCTTCTAACCCTTTTTTCGTTATATAAATTCGAATGGAAATTGAAGAAGAAAATTTCAATTAGTTAACATGCATCTATGTGAAAAGTTTTTCAAAAAAACAATAAAACGTAAAAAGTTGTATCATAGAGCTAAACTGTGGGAAATCGCAGATTTCAAACCTGACAGTTTTATTAAATGTCACAGATGAACATAATTAAAAACTAAAAATTTTTTGCAAGGTCAATGTAGTATTACCATCATTGGAAATGAGCAATATGGTTGATGAAATTCAGACATTTGTTTCTACCACTATATTAGAAATTTCAAAAATCACCAGACTCAATTATTCATCTTTTGAGAACAATATATTATACAAAAAGTAAAAACTTGATATGTTGTGCGAAGAATGGTTGCTTATATTAGTTTGAAGAGACAGAGAAGGAAATCACGAAGAGGAGAGGTATTATTGACAATTTTGGAAATACCTGTTAGCTTTAATCACTGATTCTGATTTTGAATACATAGTCCAACCTTCGTTTACAATTTCTTTCGTTGACACTACTGGTTTAGAAACATGTTGCCCAATATGTAGATGAAGCTGTTTATCATGAAGATAATAACTTTAACAAAAGCCTACTAAGATGTGCAGCTTAGAAAAAAAGTGAGTAATACAGATTTTTTTCCAACAAACGTTTTTAGTGTCCGAATCTTTTGATCACCGATAGATGGAAAAAGCCAACAATCTTCATAAAATCTTTTGAATGATTCCAGCACAAATCGTTTGTAAAAATATTTATTATTTCTACATAGTGAAACAGTAGACTCTCATTTTTCAGATTATATTTACACTAGTCAAATATTTTTATGCTCTTAATAACCATGGTATTTGCGATGTAAGACTGACATATGTGAGAAACATAATTAACTATATTTTATTGGAGTGAATTGTCACCTGTGTGTTAGTCAGTTGAACTGAACCATTCGAGTGTTCTTATTCATATTCAAGTTCCTACGTATTACTTATTACATAAAACTCGAGATATATAAGGCAGGTTAGATCTTAAGTCGTTTCGGTGATCCGAGTTAATTTCAATTGTTTTTTTATCAACGTAGCAATTTTCTCTTTTTGATGGAGTTTTGTTCTCTGAGCTGGATGGTTTGGTCGTGGAGCTTTCATCGTTCTTCTGAACGACATCATCAGCACAAACTTCAGATAGAAGTAGCAATTTTCTCTATCTGCCATAGATCACTATCCTTTATAAAAAAGGTCAGTCGAAGTTGCAAAACAAATCAAAAGATAAAATTTTTACGTTGATTTTACAAATGGATAAAATATTTACTAAGTAATCAACAATTATATTATAGAAGTATTTATATTCTTGCATGCATCTTACATATTTCTTAATTTCTTTCATTGTACACAGCTCAAACTTGAAATTCCTCTTATCCAAGTATCTTGACTAAAAAGAACTCAACTAATTACTAACAAACTCCGCCTGGAGTCCCTCCGGGGGCTACTGACGGTCCCAAGCCCGGATAAAGGAGGAGGGTTGGGCATGAGGTTAGCGACCCCATCCCGTAGAAAACTAACTCGCTAAAAAAACGCTAACCAGAAAAAAATTATTCAAACCATTTAAACTCTGTCCTGGGAGTCAGGAGGTCTTCGTTTAGAAGAATTATGACGCCTCATGATGAAAGCCGAGTTTCTTCGGAAGTCACGAGGCCGATGCCCTTTCTGACAACCAGAGCAACCATTTATTTAGGTACATGGAATGCTCGCGCAATGTGGGAGAGTTTTCCAAATTGCTGCAGAAATGAGGAGATAGCCTAGAGGTGCTTGGGATCAGTGAAACACATTGGACGCAAGTTGGACAACAACGACTAGCTTCAGGGGAGCTGCTGTTATACTCCGGACATGAAGAAGAAAATGCCCCACATACACAAGGAGTTGCATTGATGCTGTCCAAACAAGCACAAAATGCACATATAGGATGGGAATCTCATGGACCAAGGATCATCAAAGCCTCCTTCAAAACAAAGAAAACGGGGATCACAATGAACGTCATCCAATGCTACGCACCTACCAATGACTACAATGAAGACGCTAAAGATCAATTCTACGATAGCCTGCAGTCAATCGTCGAGAAGTGCCCAACAAAAGACCTGACTATTCTGATGGGAGACCTAAATGCCAAGGTTGGAATTGACAACACCGGATATGAAGAGATCATGGGACGACACGGACTCGGAGAAAGGAACGAAAATGGTGAGAGATTTGCAAATCTATGTGCCTTCAATAAACTGGTCATAGGCGGGACTATATTCCCACATAAAGGCATTCACAAAACCACATGGACTTCACCGGATCACACCACACAGAACCAAATCGACCATATCTGCATCAACAAAAAGTTCAGGAGGACGATGGAGGACGTGAGAACAAAGAGAGGAGCCGATATAGCATCAGATCATCACTTGCTGGTCGCCAAGATGAAATTGAAACTCAAGAGGCACTGGACAACGGGGAGGACAATATCACAAAAATTTAATACGGCTCTTCTTCGGGATAATGACAAACTCAATAAATTCAAGATAACCCTCAGCAATAAGTTCCAAGCCTTTCATGATCTACTCAATGGAGAAGGAACTACTATGGAGAGCAACTGGAAAGAGATAAAAGAGGCAATCACTTCAACATGTCATGAGGTTCTGGGCCAAAAGAAGCACCATCACAAGGATTGGATCACGGTCGATACACTGGATAAGATTCAAGAAAGGAGGAACAAGAAAGCAGCAATCAATAACAGTCGAACAAGAGCAGAAAAAGCCAAGGCACAAGCTGAATACACAGAAGTAAACAAGCAAGTGAAGAAGAGCATCAGAACTGACAAACGTAAATATGTGGAAGATTTAGCAATGACGGCGGAAAAGGGTGCCAGAGAAGGGAACATGAGACAACTGTATGACACAACAAAGAAACTCTCTGGAAATCACCGTAAACCAGAACGACCAGTGAAAAGCAAGGAAGGCAAGATAATCACGAACATTGAAGAACAACGAAACAGGTGGGTAGAACACTTCAAAGAACTCTTGAATCGACGAGCCCCACTAAACCCACCCAACATCGAAGCAGCACTCAGGGACCTCCCAATCGATGTTGGCCCACCAACAATTGAAGAGATCAGCATGGCTATCAGACAAATCAAGAGTGGCAAAGCAGCAGGAACAGACAACATTCCAGCAGAGGCACTCAAAGCAGACGTGGCGGTAACTGCAAGGATACTCCACATTCTCTTCAGAAAGATTTGGGATGAGGAACAGGTACCAAAAGACTGGAAAGAAGGACTTCTGGTCAAAATACCAAAGAAAGGCGATCTCAGCAACTGTAATAACTACAGGGAAATCACTCTTCTCTCAATACCAGGGAAAGTCTTCAACAGGGTATAGTTAAACAGGATGAAAGACTCCGTAGACACCCAACTTCGCAACCAACAGGCAGGATTCCGTAAGGATAGATCGTGCACAGACCAAATCGCAACTCTACGGATCATTGTGGAACAATCAATTGAATGGAATTCATCACTCTATATCAACTTCATTGACTACGAAAAAGCATTTGATAGCGTGGACAGAACAGCCCTATGGAAGCTTCTTCAACACTACGGTGTGCCTCAGAAGATAGTCAATATCATACGGAATTCTTACGATGGATTAAACTGCAAAATCGTTCATGGAGGACAGTTGACAAAGTCGTTCGAAGTAAAGACCGGTGTCAGGCAAGGTTGCTTACTCTCACCCTTTCTCTTTCTCCTGGTGATCGACTGGATCATGAAGACATCAACATCTGAAGGGAAGCACGGGATACAGTGGACAGCTAGGATGCAATCGGATGATCTAGACTTCGCAGATGATCTGGCTCTTCTATCGCATACGCAACAACAAATGCAGGACAAGACAACCAGTGTAGCAGCAGCCTCAGCAGCAATAGGTCTCAATATACACAAAGGGAAAAGCAAGATTCTTCGATACAACACAGCATGCACCAATCCAATCACAATTGACGGAGAAGCTTTGGAAGATGTAAAAGCCTTTACATATTTGGGCAGTATCATCGATGAACACGGTGGATCCGATGCAGATGTCAAGGCACGGATTGGCAAAGCAAGAGCAGCATATTTACAACTGAAGAATATCTGGAACTCAAAACAATTGGCAACCAACACCAAAGTCAGAATTTTCAATACAAATGTCAAGACAGTTCTACTGTATGGGGCCGAAACCTGGAAAACTACGAAAGCCATCATCCAGAAGATACAGGTGTTTATTAACAGTTGTCTACGCAAAATACTTCAGATCCGTAGGCCAGACACTATTAGCAACAACCTACTGTGGGAGAGAACAAATCAGATCCCAATGGAGGAAGAAATCAGGAAGAAGCGCTGGAAGTGGATAGGACACACATTGAGGAAAGCACCGAACTGCGTCACAAGACAAGCTCTCACATGGAATCCTCAAGGTCGAAGGAGGAGAGGAAGACCAAAGAATACATTACGCCGAGAAATGGAGATAGATATGAGAAAAATGAACAAGAATTGGATGGAACTAGAAAAGAAGGCCCAGGACAGAGTGGGTTGAAGAATGCTGGTCGGCGGCCTATGCTCCATTGGGAGTAACAGGCGTAAGTAAGTAATTACTAACACCTGAAGGTATTATTTCAAATGAAGAAGAGATATATTCAAGTCATAATCTTTGAAATAGACTTCGTAGTTTGTTTAGTCGGTCGTACGTCTCAATGTCAAGTTGTAAAGCTGCTAAGTTAATATCGAATAATTTAAGCTATCTTAAAAAGACGTTTAGACATGTTTTAATAACATGATGGTTTTGTCAGATATGTCTTATCATTTGTCATTTATCCCAACCTCTGATCACGAATATTTATTTGTATTAACTCTCACGAAACGTTTTCGTTAGGGGTCAAAATAATTTTACTTCCATGGTTCATTTTATCTCTCCTGCTCTAATTGGTTAGA